ACTCACCCTCAACACTAACAAAACTTTCTATATTCTGTTTGGCAATAAATCCTCAAATCAAATAAATCTCAGGATAAATAATACCCAAATTTGTAACAAAATAGATGGCAAATTCCTTGGCATTCTCATTGACAACAAGCTGAATTTCCAGGAACACATTCTAAATATATCAAAAAAAGTTTCAAAAAATGTTGGCATTCTTTCTAAGATCAGATATTATGCACCTCGCCCTGCCCTGGTGACACTATTACTCCCTCATCTATCCTTATCTCAACTATGGTATTTGTGCTTGGGGTTCTACTACCCAAAATCATTTAAGTCCTCTAATTACTCAACACACAGCTGCTATTAGGACAATATCCAACTCTGGCCCCAGACATCACTCATATATCTATCTACTCAATCCCCTAGTTTGATCCCCTACTCAAATCTCTGAATATGTTAGATATTAAGTCACTGCACATCCTCTCATGAGTATTATATATATATAAAATGCTGAACTGTAATGTCAATCCTGACCTTAAAAGCTTCAATGAAGGTTGTAACAGAACCCATGAGCACCACACCAGAAACAAATACCTTTTTGATATTCCAAGAGTACAACTTAAACTAGAAATGCTCTACAAATCAAGGGACCCAGAATGTGGAATGACCTTCCCAATTATGTTGAAGACTGTACCTCTCTCAACCAGTTTACGATAAAAACTAAGCACTACCTAATTAATTCCCTGTAATCTACCTTTCCCCTATAATGTCAACCCATGTCTGTTATTTTTAAACAATGCTGTTTGTCAACCTAATTGTATTTTTGCTGTTTTTCTGCCATGTTCCCCCCTTTTTTATTTTTTTATTTTCTCAACACATTTTATACTTGAATCTCAATTAGTATTAAGTTTTAGTCTTTAGTGTTTTTCCTGCCCGAAACGCTTTGCGTAATAGTGGCTTTAGGCATTGTATGTACTAGCTCTATCTATAAATTCATCAATATTTGTATCACCCCTTGTATGTATGTACTTTCCTGAATAAACATTTGAATTTTGAATTTTTTGAATTTGAATGTGAAATGGATGTCATACAAAACGAATGTCCCCATTGACAATAATGGAAATCAAATTAATCCGTTCTACCACCTAAAAACATCAATATGATATTCAAAGTTTTATATAATGGAGCAACCTACCTTACATACACTGAACATACCTTTTATGACATTTTTCTTTCTTCAAATTTGTTCAATATTTTTTTTTCATTTGTCTTATAGCAAAAGGTTTGTTCAGTGTTCGGCAGGTAGGCTGCTCCATTATGACACTCTTTTTTGTTTTAAATATGTTCCATTTGTTTTGTATGTATGTACTTTATTTTTGATGCACCACAGCTTTTTCACAATTAAGGTGGGGTTGAAGCTATACAATAAAGTCTGACTTTATTGTATAGCATCTGGACTATTGATAGTGCATGGGACAAAGTAAAGCTAAGAACACTTAGAACTAGTTGGAAAAGACTGACCATCAGGTCTGTTTCCTAAGGAAGGTGACGAGACTGATTTTGAAGGATTTGTGACCAATAAAGTTAGCAAGAAGAAAAAATTAACAGAGGAACTCTTAGCCTACATCAGGGGAATTAAGTCCCCAGAACTGAGAACAGAACTGATGACAAACAGTAGATGACATAGATGAGTGGATAGATCATGACGAAGAAGCCCCAACCTTTCAAAACATGACTGATGTTGAAATTATAGATTTATTTACATGAAAAAATCCAGAACAGTACAATGAAGATGATGGAGAGGAAAACGAAGAAGAAACGTTAAAAGAAAAAAGGTATATCTTGAGGTTATCTTGAGATGATTTCGGGGCTTTAGTGTCCCCGCGGCCCGGTCCTCGACCAGGCCTCCACCCCCAGGAAGCAGCCCGTGACAGCTGACTAACACCCAGGTACCTATTTTACTGCTAGGTAACAGGGGCATAGGGTGAAAGAAACTCTGCCCATTGTTTCTCGCCGGCGCCTGGGATCGAACCCAGGACCACAGGATCACAAGTCCAGCGTGCTGTCCGCTCGGCCGACCGGCTCCCCAACGGAACGGAAAAAATTCAGCAACATTTTGAAGGCATTCTTGCATTTATGGAAATGAGTAACGGTGAGTTTATGAACACGATGAGATTGTACAATTTGTATATGAAGTTTTTGAAAACAAGAGCAAAGGAATTAAACAAGTATCAATTAAAGTATGTTACAAAGGCTTCCAAGAAAGCACACACTGCACCACCTGCACCTGACTCATCACATGTTGACCCAAATTCTTCAACATCTGAGGTTACCTCATCACCATTAATCTCCACTTCAGTCAGCCCAACACCACCATCCACCACCATCTCTTTCATGTAAATAACAATGCTCTATCAACAATAAGAATCAAGTTAGCAAGTGGATCAGGACTTCTTGTAATGGTGTGTACAAACAAAATACCGTCAAATTTATGCCATGAAACTGTAGATTTGTTCCCCCAGATTTTCAGGATGGACCGCATATACGAACACAACAAGTTATCTGATAAGTCTCAGCCCCAAAAAGGGTTCGTAAAACAAGTGACTGTCTGTATGTGTATAAATATACACACATGTATTTATTCATACTAATATATTATATATATATATATATATATATATATATATATATATATATATATATATATATATATATATATATATATATATATATATATATATATATATATATATATATATATATATATATATATATATATATATATATAAAGCCTAAAACTTATAATTAGATAAAGTACACATTTTGCCTGAAATATATAATGGTAATCACTCATTTGCGGTTGATAAAAGTTCAGTGGCTACTGTTATGGCTGCCCTTCATGTTCAGACACTGGATGGTGACGTTGCCAGATATGGTCCTCATTTTTCTAGAAGGAAAGTGAGGGACTCGGGATTTTTTTTTCAAAATGGGGGGTTGTTACTGGAGGCCTGATGAAGTAATTGTTAGCCCCATGTATGTGCAAGACTTAAATTTTATGCAGTTCCCTAATACTTCATACCATGTGATGCTCAGTCTGAGAATATATAGGTACCCCATCATATGATATGATGTGCAACCAAAGGGTTAATCAATTTGATTACAAAGATTTATTGAAGGAAAGAAAGTAAATGAGTTACATGAACTTTTTTTTAGGTTATATGATGAAAGTATAAGGAAATTTAAACCAGTACAAAGATGCAGAACTAGGAAGCAGGAATGGTTCAATATAAATTGAGAGAGGGCCAGACAACAAAAGACAAACAAGTGTTGAGTGTAACAGAATAAGCACAGAAAAGGAACAACAAGTCCTAGAAAGGACCGGAGGAAGCCACATCGAAAGACGACAGACGTTCCATTAATACGGGAAGTAGCGGAAACCTTTCCAAACTCTCGAGAACACAGAAGCAAGCACAAGTCACAAAAGCACATAAAGGCACAGCCACACCCGACACCAAAAGTCATGCAGAACTCCAAGAAGAGGGGAACATGATGGAGACATCCCATCCCAAGAAAAAGGGGGGGGGGGAATAACTGAGAAGAACACTCACCTACAGGACGGAACCAACTAACTCATGGGACAAGGAACCGAGCCCGGGAAGAGGCCGACGCCCAAAAACTCGTACAGGGGGGGGGGGGGAAACCCCACTCCACGTAAACGTAAGCCCCACCAAGAGAGTAGAAAAACCCCCGCGAGGTCCAACGGGGCCCTAGGCACTCCTAAGGCAGCCCCTCCCCAGCCCCAGGAACCCACATGGCAGGCCCAGAGGCCGAGGAGTCCCCCCAAAGCCCCAGCCTCAAGAAAAAACCAGGGCAGCCGCAAAAATACTAAGGAAGGTAGCCCACTGGCAGATTTACAACACAGCTGGAGGAACAGGCTCGAATGCCCCCGTCGCTACCCTGGAAGGGGAATTCCCTGAGATCGCCCAAGTCCCAAAACCAATGACCCCACCCCGCCCCGAACTCACAGACGGTAAGGATCTGGATGCAGGTAGGAAGGGGGGACCAGAGTAGATCACAACAGGGAAAAGACAAGGGAGGGTGTGGAAGGAACCGAAGCAGCAACACTCTCCCCCCGCCCCAAGCCCCAACACCAACCAAAACTGGCAGCCTCGGGGCTTCCGGGGAGCAAACAACCGAGAGCGTTGCCACCATCGAAGCTCAACGTGCAACATCCGTACTGCCTGCACCCACAAAGTCAGCATAAGACTGGGTAACTGAACCACAATAAGCAACAAAACTTGCAGGACTCTGGGCCGAAGGTGTCACCGACCCCACAGGCAGCAGACGGAGGCAAAGAGAGTCACCCTGAGACAAGGGGTGAGAGCAACCCTCAAACTCTTTAGAAGCGAGGGGGGGACTCCGGGGTCACATCCATCGGATCCGCGCGCCCCCAGGGGTTTCCCAGGGTCCTGAGCATTTACTATAAGAGGACTCTTGCTCAGGTAATCCCAGGCAGGGTACTGCTAACCGGCGCCCAAAGCTACCAAACAGCCTTCTAAGAACTGAACCCCCGGACGTGTACACTTACGGGGACCCGCCGAAAAAAGGAAGAATACACAGGGGACACAGGGGGCCAAGGCAACTCTAGGTGCATGCAGCCCAAGCACGGGAGAAATTACTCCTGGCTCACACACCACCTCGGAACAGGACCACACCCCAAGGCACAGCACTGGAACATCAGGAGCCAGAATCACACGACCGCCAGGTCTCACATCAGCCTCAGAACAGAGGGTGGATTGCCGGTGCGGGGGTCTGGAGCTCCCCATTCCCCCTCCTGGGGAGGGGGGAGCTGTGTAGACTGTGGCACGGTGACGGTTGTGATATCATGTTCGTTTGCTTATTTTTCATTTGGGAAGTTCTGCTTAACAGTTTGGCTTTCAGTAGCAATTTTTTAACCAGATAGGGTTTGTTTTGGGGGCGCCTACCTTTAAAGCGTTATATTACAAAGAGTAATGGGAATACGGGACACCAGAAGCATAGCTCTCATCCAATAACTAAACATAGGTAATTACAGGTTCAAGCTAAGGAAACAAAGCTGCCAAAAAATAAGAAAGTCCACTTTTGAAAATAGAGTGTAGACGATTAGAACAAGTTAAGTGAGAAGGTGGTGGAGGCCAAAACTATCAGTAGTTTTAAAGCATCATATGACAAAGAGTACTGGGAAGATGGGGCACCAAGAACATAGGTCTCATGTAACTACACTTAGGTAATTACAGTACTGAACTGTAAGGCTTTTAACAGATCAGCATAACATACACAATCTTTGTGTAAGGAACTTTGTTATTGGCTCATTGGTTTAAATTAAGGATAAACAGCTATACAAGGGGGCTGACCTGTGCTCATCATTAATTTCCTTTTAGGCAGAGGGTACAACTAGTACATACATATTCATTGCTCTTGAATGATTAATGTTTTCCTTAATGATAATCTGCTAGATACACATACAAAATACTTATTAAATGGATTGCAAATTAGTAAATTGTTACCATTTTCTGAATACTACATTATAACACACGGCCGCTGCCTCGGTGCTAAACCAACAGCTGCCATTATAGCCGAGGTGAAGACTTCTTGTACTCCTTCTTGTGATTTAGCAGAGCACTCCACATATTTAGAAAGGCGAGCCTTCTTAACTAACTTCTTGCCATCTCTTTGATTAAGAACATTTAGGTTCCTAACATCCTTTTTTGTACCTAGATGGAAAAATTAATGAAATTAAAATCTTGGCCGTTTGTGAATGTGCTTAGGTAAACAGCAGTTCTGATAATTTTAATAACACAATAAATTAATATAAATATATGTAATAGACTTAGAAAATTAATTAAAATATATTAATTAAATAAGCAGTTATGGCCAGTGGCAATGTCAAATATGGGACGTGTGAGAAGAAGACTACTCGGAATGAATTCAATCATGTCCTAGTCATGCCATAAAAACTTTCACTACAACTGTCAAAAAATCTCATCTCATGAATTAATCACTACACTGTGCAACACGGTTTAAGGTGCTAGATCGGTAGTGCACAAGGCACCTCAGGGCACTCGTAGGTATAGCGTAGCATTCAAAACTCCCACCGCTACACAGGATTAACAAACTTCTCCAAGGCTCTCATAAACAGATGCCATTTTTTTTTTAAATCGTGGGCAACATTCCCGGGTGTGAGAGCCTCAGAACTGAGTGAGCAACCAAGGCTGGCATACGCAGCATGAACTAACAGCACTACTATTCAGCTTGTAACCACATCATCATCATCTGCCCGAAACGCTTTGCGTAATAGTGGCTTTAGGCATTGTATGTACTAGCTCTATCTATAAAGCCAACAAACTTTGTAAAATCTCTTTATGTATGTACCTTTACCTAAATAAAAATTATTATTATTATTATTATCTAAAAATGTCAAAATATATATGTAATGGGTATTATTTAGCCATGATAGTATTACAGAAGAGCCTGACTGTGATAATGACTGTGTTTACTCAGTTTCTATGATCGAGCAACAGAGATATTACAGGAAAGAGATGGTTGGGTTGACTGCATCTATCTGGACCTAAAAAAGGCTTTCGACAGAGTTCCACATAAGAGGTTGTTCTGGAAACTGGAAAATATTGGAGGAGTGACAGGTACGCTTCTAACATGGATGAAAAATTTTCTGACTGATAGAAAAATGAGGGCTGTGATCAGAGGCAATGTATCGGACTGGAGAAATGTCACAAGTGGAGTACCACAGGGTTCAGTTCTTGCACCAGTGATGTTTATTGTCTACATAAATGATCTACCAGTTGGTATACAGAATTATATGAACATGTTTGCTGATGATGCTAAGATAATAGGAAGGATAAGAAACTTAGATGATTGTCATGCCCTTCAAGAAGACTTGGACAAAATAAGTACATGGAGTGCCACTTGGCAAATGGAATTTAATGTTAATAAATGCCATGTTATGGAATGTGGAATAGGAGAACATAGACCCCACACAACCTGTATATTATGTGAGAAATCTTTAAAGAATTCTGATAGAGAAAGAGATCTAGGGGCGGTTCTAGATAGAAAACTATCACCTGAGGACCACATAAAGAATATTGTGCGAGGAGCCTATGCCACGCTTTCTAACTTCAGAATTGCTTTTAAATACATGGATGGCGATATACTAAAGAAATTGTTCACGACTTTTGTTAGGCCAAAGCTAGAATATGCAGCAGTTGTGTGGTGCCCATATCTTAAGAAGCACATCAACAAACTGGAAAAGGTACAAAGACATGCTACTAAGTGGCTCCCAGAACTGAAGGGCAAGAGCTACGAGGAGAGGTTAGAGGCATTAAATATGCCAAAACTAGAAGACAGAAGAAAAAGAGGTGATGTGATCACTACATACAAAATAGTAACAGGAATTGATAAAATCGATAGGGAAGATTTCCTGAGACCTGGAACTTTAAGAACAAGAGGTCATAGATTTAAACTAGCTAAACACAGATGCCGAAGAAATATAAGAAAATTCACTTTCACAGAGTGGTAGACGGTTGGAACAAGTTAGGGGAGAAGGTGGTGGAGGCCAAGACCGTCAGTAGTTTCAAAGCGTTATATGACAAAGAGTGCTGGGAAGACGGGACACCACGAGCGTAGCTCTCATCCTGTAACTACACTTAGGTAATTACACTTAGGTAATTACACAGTAGTTTCAAAGTGTTATATGACAAAGAGTGATGGGAAGACGGGACACCACAAGCGTAGCTCTCATCCTGTAACTACACTTAGGTAATTACACACACACACACACACCTCCAGAAAGCAGCCTGTAGCAGCTGTCTAACACCCAGGTACCTATTTACTGCTAGGTGAACAGATGCATCAGGGTGAAAGAAACTCTCCATTTGTTTCTGCCTCCACCGGAGATCGAACCTGGACCCTTAGGATTACAAACCCTGAGCGCTGTCTACTCAGCTGTCAGGCCCCCATAAGCCAGCCGTCAGGCTTACTACATTACCTAGAAATAATCCTCAAATTATATTACAATGTACCTGTTGATAATTTTCAAATTTTACTATAATGTACCTACTAATCTTCGTCAAATTCCCTTACAACCTACCTGCTACCATTACTCAATTTTTGCTAGAAATACTTAAAATTATCTGTTAGATTGAGGACCTGGCCGAAATGCTATGCTTGTTAGTGGCTTCACAAGAATGTAAAAAAATGCTATGTACTCTCCTGTCCTCATCGAGGACACTATGATTAGTGGCACTCAGGTAAATCATAAAATAGGCATGACTTGCATAGTGGAATGGTTAAGCTTAATAATCAGTAATTACAAGGTAAAGTATTATTTTCATATTTATATAGTACTGTATAGGTGTGACACTTAAGTTTCCATTCTTGCAGAACTATTCTTATTATCAAGTACAGTACTTCAAGTATTATCAAGTACAGTACTTCAAGGTCCTCCCACACATGTAATATAATATTTATCAATAATGTTGCACAGCCTATAATACAGTACATTATGCAAGTCCTAAATACTGTATTAATGCCATGGAATTCTGCAAGCAATTACTGTCGTGAACAATCACTGAATAAACATTTATAAATGTTTATGAAAAGTTTGAAAACCTCTAAGTCATGCAATGGTTCATATTCATATATTTCTCTACCAAACTAATAAAATAAAATTACAGTACTTACCAACTAGAACTACTGGCACTTTAGGGCAATGCTGCTGGAGTTCTGGCAACCATTTTGATGTAACATTCTCAAAGCTGGCACGGTTATCCAGAGCAAAACAGACAATAAACACATTTGTCTGTAAAAAGGAATAGTTCTTTGAACATAAACACTTACAATTTTGAACTGTCCACAAAAATATGCTATTAAAATATTAAATCTAATTCTCATTAAAAGAATTTACCTGAACGCCACTATATCTCTAGTGGCCTCGATCAGGACATGAAGCAGCTTGTCAGAGGTACCCCCCCCCCAAATTGTCCTAATGATTTTATCGAGCTGGATTTTGAAATTCCGTGTTTTGGCATTTACGGTTTTGATAGGTGGTTCAACACCGTCTTCTCAGCTATTGACACATCCCTTGTAAATGAATTCCCAGCATCCCAAAGCAATGTTAATTACTAACTTATATTTAGCTATCCTGATTCGCTGTACCTAACTTCCACTAGTTCCTCAGAAGTTAATGATATAATCTTCTCATAAAACTAAGTCAGGTATCCTTGCTGAGATACAAATATATAAATAAAATATACAGTATTATTTACCTGATTTACCTGAGGGACACTAACCCAAGTGGCCTCAATGAGGACAAGATGCAGGCAGCTTGTCAAAATGTCCCCCCAGTTGTCTGTGATCTTTTCCAGGTAAATTTTAAAACTTAGCACAGTTTTGGCCTTTATGGTTTTGGTAGATAGGCTGTTCCATGGGTTTATAACCCTGTGGGTGAAAAAGCATCTCTTGTTCTCAGTCCTACATTGTGGTTTTGTTTAGTTTTAAACCATTGCTCCTTGTTTGTGTCACATCTGACCTTTTTAAGAAATTGTTCAGATCAACATCTTCTAACTTGTTCAGTACTTTAAAAGTTTTAACAAGATTTGCCCCATCATGCCTGGTTTGCAGAGATGTTAGCCCTGTGGCCTTCAACTGTTCCCGATACGAGAGATGACTTGGCTCCAGAATGACTTTTGTTGTCAGGTGTTGCACTTTCTCCAAAGCAGCTATGTCCTTCTGAAAATGAGGTCTCCATGCTTGGATACAGTAATCCAAATGGGGCCACACCAGATATTTATAGTCGAATCATAACCATCTTTTCCCTAAAGTTAAAAGTATGCTTGATCATTCCATGGGTTTGATTAACTTTTCTGACTGCTTTTTCATTATGTGCCTCTGTAACCCTTTCCACTACCAACCACAAGATGGGTATGGGGTGCATAATAAATGAACTAAACTAACTTTTTCTACCCGTTGTGTAACTTAGAGAGTGGTGGATTTTGACTCCAAGGTCCTTTTCTTCATCACTCTGCTGTTATACAATGCTATTAATTTGGTAGTTGTGGCGTGGGTTGTTTTGCCCCTACAAGCATCGTTTTGCATTTGTTGATATTAAGAAGCATTTGCCAGTCTTCTGACCATTTTTGGAGTTCATGTAGATCTCTTTGTAAGGCTTCAATATCATTTCCCACTTTACCATAAATCTTTGTGTCATCTGCAAATCCGATGATGTAGTTTGATGTATATAACATCAACATGTATATAACTTTTGTGGTTTGTTTTCACAACAAAACAAAAAGAAGGGGGTGGTAGGAGAAAAGAACATAGAAATTGTATTCGGAGCAAACCTAAACATCACTCCCAATGCACTGTGTGTGCTTTCCTCTGAAGCTAAGGGTCCCCTTCTTCCAGCCAGAGGTTGTACTTCCTTCTAAGAAAAAAACAGCATTGAATGTAATGAAACACCATTTTCTGGGTGAGCCCCGGAGGCTCAATAGCTGATGTGTTATATTAGTCCATGCATAAGTCAATTGGAGTTCAGCCTACCAAGGAACCACGAGCCAGAACCTGACCCCCCTTCCCTTCCCTCAGAAAGACAAAAGTACCAATGGCCTATAGATGCCCCCCATGTGGTTGGTGGGCATTCCATGTCTGCCATCGACGAGGTTGGCACCCAGAAAGGTAAGCATAACAACCGAAAATGCGACCGAAAATCGAACAGGGAGGCAGAACTCGCCCGACAACTTAAGGAAACAAGCAAACGTCACACATCACTGCCGCGCTGCCTGTCTGTGCAGCTCCTCCCCCTCCGGGAGAGGGGTGGATGCCCGGACCCCTCGTGCCGGCTACCCAAGTCATCCAGTTTGAGGGCCGAGCATCAAGAAGAAATGGAACCACCGTCCAGAGGGGAGGGATGGTTGCCAGGGAGCTTCCGGGGCTCACCCAGAAAGTGGCATTTCATTACATTCAACATTGTGTTTCTGTGGGGAAGCCCCTACAGCTCCCTGGAGCTATATCACCAAAGAGAAGGAAATAGGAACTTACCCAGGAGGTGGACACCACTCGCACCTCAACTCTAAGTTGAGACAACTAGCTGCAACCTGTGACCCAAAGCCACACATGGGCAACTAGAACCAGGAATGTTGAGATAATGTGCGGCCGGGACCCTGTTTTACCTCCAAAATCCCCATGCCCAAATGTCAGCCCAGAACATATTGTTGAAGACGACAAACATATTGCTCAAAGCAGCAAACTTACGAATGTTGTGGACAAGAGAATAGACTGCAGGCTGGCTAGACTTAACCCTGCAGACAACCTGGGAGACCCGAGCCCTGGAGAAGGGAACGAGGGAAGCCGGATCAACCCAAAGTGCATCCCCGGCTACAGAAGCCGAGGCGCGCAAGTAACGGCAAAGAGCCGCAACTGGACACAACACACGATGCATCCCCGGCCTGACCAACCAAGCATCGATGACCCAAGGACCCATCCAGAAAGCGGCAGTCTCATTCTTCGCCAGAAAAGGAGGAGAAGGCTGCAATCTAACAAACCTACCATCAGGATAAAGAGCAGAAACCCCTGCACCAGAGGAGAGCATGAAGCTCACCAACCCGACCCACAGAAGTCAATACCAACAGAAAGAGAGCCTTGGAAAAACAATCTTGAACCAAAGGGGCCACCACGAACCGAGGGGTGACTTCGTTTTTGTTGTTTCAACAAAACTTTGCATTTCTTCCCATTCTGCACACCACTTAATTTTTGAGCAACCCATGGCATGGTATATAATTACTGTTATGGTTAGAATTAAAAAAAAAAAAGCTGAAAAACAATGAAATTGCATACAAAGAATTCAAGCGCAATCCTCATTTAAGCGGGAGATCTGGTAAACTTAAGCGGGATCGCCTGTGCCACCAGGAACCACGTGCTCGGTCAACCCATACGTGTATCAAAGTCGCAAGTTGAGGCAAAGGTCGTAAGTAAGAGTTGAACTTCCCAACGAAATCAGGGTTGTAACTCAAAAAATTCAGAAGTAGGGGCATTCGTAAGTCGAGGTTCATCTGTATTTTGTTACTGTGTTTACTGTCACAAACTAATGTAACAATATAGACATTACAATAGTAATAATAAAATGAAACAAACTGGTATAGTAACCGATACATTATAAACAAATTAACAATTTTCCATGGGAACCAGTTCACTTGTAAAATTAGTTACCCCAGGATATGAGAGAGGACGGAGACGTTCATACTCTTCTTGACCTGCTGTATCCCACAACATCATTGGGTAGGTTCGTTCGTCAACAGTGTGATTCCCTGCATAGTTGTCAAAAACTGTTGGTACATACTCCTGAAATTAATATATAAAATCATGCATTTGAAAAAGTACATGAAATTATGGCTTCTGATATCCTCATTTATGTTCAGTACAAAATATAATCTTGTTTAATATGAAACCCTTACAGTACAGTATATATTGTATATGCAAATGCTATATCACATAAGAATTTATAAATAAAAGAATCAGTAGAAGACCCACTTGCTCTTGCAAGATAACTTCTATTGATATTTAACCATTCCCACTCATTTATGGTACTGTACTTAGTTGTGCTTGCAGGGGCTGAGCTCTGCTCTTTCAGCCCGCTTCTCAACTCTCAATTAACTGTTACTAATTGTTTTCCTCCCCACACCCCCCCAGGAAGCAGCCCGTAACAGCTGTCCAACTCCCAGGTGCCTATTTACCGTTAGATGACAAGTGCATCAGGGTGAAAAACTCTGCCCATTGTTTCTCACTGGCGCTGGGAATCAAACCCCAGATCACAGGATTACGTGTGGAGCATGCTGTCCACTCAGCCACCGGCCCCATTCAGTGGGTGTGTGACCTCATGTCAGAATCATGATAGTAACCTTTCAAACTCGAGCAGAGTGTAAGAGTGTATAAAACAGCTGGAGTTGAGAATATGAAGGCAAGGTGTTTATCAAACAATGTGTTCAAACGTGAACTGCAGAATGACGAGTATGTAAAACGTGAATGGTTTCTCTATTCACCATCCCAAAGTCGTTTGTACTGCTTTGTATGTCTCTTGTTGTCAAAGAAAGAATTCCCTTTACTACATTCGGGTTCAATGACTGGAAACACAGCAATGTTATTATAGAACTGAAAATGGAGAACATCAAAGTGCATGGCAGCATATTTGATAAGGCATAAAGAAATTGGATTATTATTACTTTAGCAACATCGCTCAAAGCAGGAATATTGCCATAAAGTGTTGACACGTGTGGTTTCTGCAATTCACTTTCCTGCCTCTAGAGGTTTGCCATTTTGAGGAAAATCAGATTACATATTGGGTCAGCAAAAAATGGCAACTATTTAGGTATACTAGAGCTGCCGAGTGAATTTGACCCTTTCTTGGAAGAACATCTCAAAATGTATAGAAATCCTGGAAAAGGGAATCCGTCATATTTATCTGCAAATATTTGAGGAATTTATTGAATTAATGGGTCAACAGGTTTTGTACTATTTTTGAAGAAGTAAAAGGAGTCAAAGTATTATTAAATAAGTGTAGATTCTACTCCCGACATCTCACACTTAGATCAACTGACATTTACTGTCCGATACATTAAAGGTAGTGGTCAGCTACTACGGGCTGCGTCCTGGGAATGAATGAAGGAGCTTGACGATAATGCCTCAAATATGTCTGGATGATATACTGGATTGCAAGCACGGATTCATCAACTTAATGAGTTTGCCATCTATGTTCCCTGTGCTGGACACATCCTGAACTTGGTGGGAGTAAAAGCAGCAGTGTTGTCTACAAACTCAAATTCTTTGACCTTGTTCAGCATCTGTTCATTTTTTGCTGGTTCTATTCAGTGCTGGAATGTATTGACATCTTTAGGAAAAGATTTTGTGGCCAAGCGTCTGTGACACACGGTCAGCACATTTTGATGATCATCATTCTCTGTATGGGGGGTTTCAAAAAAATAAATACAAAATAAAACATGCACTAGATTCTTTATCAGCCGACATTGAACAGCAAGTGAATACAGTAGGATCGAGCGAAAAATGGAAAACCTGAAAATCTCTCAATTCTTTGGAATGACATGCTAGAAAAATTGAACAAAAACAAGGTCATGCAGTCAAAGGATGTGACCATCCTTGTCGCCACGAATCTTCTGGAGTCTATGAAAGCCTATCTTCGGGAAACTAAAGAAATTTAATTAATTAATATGAATTCAAAGCCATAAGTATGTGTCCAGATACAGATTACAGTGATGTTTGATTGTCGATTGATTAATCCTAAAACATATCTTACGTACCTTAATCCTAACACAGCTGAACAGGGCATGCGAGATCCTTTGCCTCCTTTTGATGTGGAAGAGGCAATCTCAGGGATTAGCATGACGGCATCGTATACCAAAGTTGACCTGGCCCTTGGTTAGCGCCTGACTAAGGTGTCAGTTTCCCAACTGTGCACAACCGACTGGCTAGCGATGCACCCAAACATTCCAACTATGCAAAAATGCAGTTCTGCTGTGTACTATTCTCATGTTACAGGATGACCTGTGACAAGCGCTAGCTTCCTGTCTCCATCGAGGTCACAAGAGAAATGGTGGCTTCATGTAAAGTCTGATAAGTGGCACTATTATTTGTTAATGAAAGGCTGCATATTTCAGATACCAAGCTCTTTCCCCCCCCCCCCTACTGTACACCATCTGGCAGTTGGCCAGCAGTGAGAGCGGAGCTGCATTTCATTTGTTTTATCTGTAATTGAACATTTTAATTGTATTTTTATAACTTAATGAATGTATGTTCTTTTCTCGCTTACCTCTGGGAACTCCCCAGTGGTGTAAGATATTAGAAGGCAAGTCTTGCCGACAGTACCATCACCAACCACTGTTATTTTGAGCGGTCGCTGGTTTACACCGTCCCCCATCTTTACTCACAGTCTGTGTCACTCCTGAAACAAATTCATCATGAAAGTAACTTGTTGAATCTATGAATGCATAGTGAATCTGAAATTGGCCTACCTATTATATACTTATCTATGATTCTGAGGAGCAATGCCTCAGTGACCTGGTCTGGTCAACCAGGCTGCTCGTAGCCTAATTTATTTAAGAGTCAATGCCTGGTTGACCAGGTACCTTATGAAGGTTTTCCAAGTTAGGTTCTCTTTTGAACACCAAGAGGTAGACTAGTTTTGCTCTGTGTAGGGGCCTGTGTTGAAAAGTCTTGGGTATTTGATGTTGATCGAGTTCTCTCTCAGCATACCTGTTACATCTCTGCTTTTTCAATGCAGCTTTTTTTCTTGCAGTTGTGACAGCCTGTTACAGCCTCACAGAGCCAGTATGTTGTTGTTGTTATAGATTCAGCTACTCGGAATAAGTTCCAAGTAGCACGGGCTATGGTGAGCCCGTAACTTACCTGGCAGAGGAGCGGGGCAAGTAGCGCGGGCTATGGTGAGCCCGTAGTGGACTTACCTGGCACAGGAGCGGTGCTGTGAGAGCCAGTAGCCGGGTTCTTTATTTCTATCACTTCATATGGGGCCTTTGTGTCTCCTTCATTGATCCCATCCCAAGTCATTTTTAAGTCATCAAGAATTGGCAGGAGCAAGTAAACGGGAAAGGAATAAAGGGGATAAACAATACTAATTAACACCTTCACCAATATATTCTCATTACATTATATATATAATCTCATTATCATCTCTATATATACACATATGTACACAGAGTGCCGCTTTCGCACAGGACACTATTATAATTGCAGTATTCTTCCATTCCCGGCGAGTCCACTATTATCAAGTATACGTCTTCCACGTTCAATGGTTATAACACCGGCGAGTTCACCTTACTCAACATGGGCCAGTCATACCCCACGTCTGCTCTCCAGAAACACACTGGCAGAGGTCTTCAGCAACACACCGACAGGGGGGGGGGGTCACAAATAATACGTCTAAGGGGTCTCTACCTACACCCTTGCAGAAGTATCCAGCAAACAAACTAGCAGAACTTCCCAACAGACGGCCAATATTGTCGTCTTGTAACTCCTTATGGCCAAATCCCGGGTACGTCGGTCCGTACAATAACACTGCACAAGTACAACAGCCAATATACTGTCTTCTACCGACAGCAGCCACTTGTCTTCACAGGAACAAGTCAGGAGTTCTGGGGCCAGATTCACGAAGCAGTTACGCAAGCACTTACGAACGTGTACATCTTTCCTCAATCTTTGACGGCTTTGGGTACATTTATTAAACAGTTTACAAGCATGAAAACTTTCCATTCAACTCTTGTTATTATTATAAACAGCCTCCTGGTGCTTCGGAGCTCATTAACTGTTTATTAATTGGAAACAAAGCCGCCAAAGATTGAGAAAAGATGTACAGGTTCGTAAGTGCTTGCGTAAGAGATTTCAAGAATCTGGCCCCTGGACTGCCCTAGGTGAACTACCTTCGAGAGCCCAAATAGACCCTCCTCGTCACCTCTGTGGACATAATAGTCATTAGTCAGACAAAAAGTGCACAAGGATAACATTAGATGACAGCCTTTCACCGGGAAACATAAAATATCATTGGATGCACACTATAAATGGCATTGATATCGTTACTTCCCTCGCCAGAGGTTATCTTGAGATGATTTCGGGGCTTTAGTGTCCCCGCGGCCCGGTCCTCGACCAGGCCTCCACCCCCAGGAAGCAGCCCGTGACAGCTGACTAACACCCCAGGTACCTATTTTACTGCTAGGTAACAGGGACATAGGGTGAAAGAAACTCTGCCCATTGTTTCTCACCTGCGCCCGGGATTGAACCCGGGACCACAGGATCACAAGTTCAGCGTGCTGTCCGCTCGGCTCCCTTCGTCATCTTCCATCCATCCAGAGTGCATCATCTTCCACCCACCTCCTAACTGACGTATGCTCAGGAGCATTTCGTAGATGGCGTTGACTTTGCCACACCTCCACACTCCATCGAAGGTGTTGATGTCGTCATATAGCTACTTTGTTGAGTTCTTCAAAAGCAAGGTCTTCCAATATGATCCGGTCGAGCGGACAGCACACTGCACTCGTGATCCTGTGGTCCTGGGTTCGATCCCAGGTCCGGCGAGAAACAATGGGCAGAGTTTCTTTCACCCTATTCCCCTGTTACCTAGCAGTAAAATAGGTACCTGGGTGTTAGTCAGCTGTCACGGGCTGCTTCCTGGGGGTGGAGGCCTGGTCGAGGACCGGGCCGCGGGGACACTAAAGCCCCGAAATCATCTCAAGATAACCTGAAGATGATTACTCCTAAATCTTTTACATTGGCTTTTCTCCCAATAGTGTGGTCTGATTGTTGTATATGTGGTTCGTTTTGATATTTTCCTTTTTTCCATAGTGCAGTAACTGGAACTTTTCCTCAATAAACAGTATTATTTTCTGTGGCAATTAAAAGACTTGATTAACATTGGAGTGGAGGTTTGCTGTGTGTCCTCAATGTCGTGAAAATTGTAGTGTCATCTACAAAGGATGATAGAGTACAATAGTTTGTGTTCTTGCCTATGTCTGATATGAGGAAGAGAAAACTTACTGGAGCACGTACAGTACCTTGGGGGACTGAGCATTTTATGGTGGATGATCCAGATTTTACTTTGTTGACTATTACACTCTGGGTTCTGTTCGTTAGGAAGTTAAATATTCGTCTCCCACCTGTGTCAGTAATTCCTTTTGTGAGCATTTTGTTTGTTGATGCTTGTTTATTTATTTAAAATGATCCCAAATTCACTCTTGTCCCTATCGGAAAACCCGACACCATTTAATAATATTTCATACAATAGGCAGATAATATGGCTGCTGTGTTGTATACACAAGTTACCCATAGAAAATGTAGCTTGTAGTGGACTTTTCCGTCATTAGAAAATGGGATATCATTACCACATAGTACTATAAATTCACTAGCTATTCTGTTGGGAATTATTCTTAAATACAGTAGTCTTTGGACTTATTACATCATAAAAACATCTCATTTGAATTAACTTAATTATCAGTATCAAAATAAAGTAAATGTAACCCTTCTATCACTTATTGACATTGGACAAGGAGAGCCAAGGCGTCAGTAGTAGTGGAAGAGGTCAGCCATTGTTTGTTAGACCGAGTCGTTGGAGCAAATTCCGCTCCTATAATTCTCTTGGACGAAGTGTTATGGAGATCAAATTTAGTGTTCTACCATCAACACGCTGTTTACAACCACAAGGGAAGTGTTTTTCCGAAATCTTATCTAAGTCATTATTGGCCAGTAATGTTAGGTAGATATGATTAATTCTGGTTAGGACGTGAACGATCGAAGAAAAGAACAAACGTTGAAGCAATCATATGAGTCTGAGGAAATGGAATTGGAACAGAAAGCTATACAAGAGATAAAGAAAAATCCGAAATATTTTTTCACATACGCAAAATCAAAATAAAAAACCTCGACAAGTATTGGACCGTTAATTACAAATGAAGGTACGTACACAGAGGACAACAAAGAGGTTAGTGAAATTCTAAGAAGCCAGTATGAGGCTATGTTTAGCACACCAATAAACAACATGAAAGTTGATGACCCAGACAGCTTCTTTATGAATGACATTAAAGCTGCAGATAATATAACGGATATTACCACAAACTCGTAAGACTTTAAAAGAGAAATTGACAATATGCCTATGCACTCAGCTCCTGGGCCTGACTCATGGAATTCAATATTCATAAAGAAATGTAAAGTACCAGTAGCGAGAGCACTCAGCATAATATGGAGAAAGAGCCTGGATACAGGGGAGATACCAGCAGCACTTAAGTCTGCAGATATAGCTCCGTTGCACAGGGGAAGGGGGGAGTAAAGCCTTGGCAAAAAATTATAGGCCAGTTGCACTAACATCACACATAATAAAAGTGTCTGAAAGAGTGATTAGGAATCAAATTTCTAGTTTTATGGAAAACATTGAGTTGCACAACCCAGGACAACATGGATTTAGAGCGGGAAGATCCTGTCTGTCACAGTTACTCAACCACTATGACAAAATCACAGAAGCTCTAGAAGAAAAGCAAAATGCGGATGTTGTATACACAGACTTTGCAAAGGCGTTCAACAAATGTGACCATGGAGTGATAGCTCACAAAATGAGGTAAATGGGAATAACTGGAAAAGTAGGACGCTGGATATTCAATTTCCTGTCGAACAGAACACAAAGAGTAACAGTCAATCAAATAAAATCGAGTCCAAGCGATGTTAAAAGCTCTGTACCTCAAGGTACAGTCCTTGCACCACTGCTGTTCCTTATTCTCATATCAGATATAGACAAAAATACACGTCACAGCTTCGTGTCATCCTTCGCAGATGACACAAAAATCAGCATGAAAATTACCTCTGCTGAAGACATTGAAAAATTACAAGCAGATGTCATCAGTTTCGATTGGGCAGCAGAAAATAACATGATGTTTAACAGTGATAAATTTCAGGTACTCAGGTACGGCAAAAATGAGGATCTGAAACATAATACAGGGTACAAAACACAATCGAATCTTCTCATAGTAGAAAAACAGCATGTCAAGGATTTGGGAATAATGATGTCCGACGATCTAACGTTTAGGGAGCATAACCAAGCAAATATTGCGTCAGCCAGAAAAATGATCGGATGGATTACGAGAACTTTCAAATCCAGGGATCCCATCACAATGGTTGTACTCTTCAAGTCACTTGTGTTGTCCCGTCTCGAGTACTGCTCAATACTCACTTTCCCCTTCAGAGCAGGAGAGATTGCTGAAATAGAGGGAATACAGAGAACATATATGGCACGCATAGACGAGATAAAACACCTAAATTATTGGGATCGTCTCAAAGCTCTCCAAATGTACTCGCTAGAAAGGAGACGAGAGAGATACCAAATAATATACACATGGAAAATACTGGAGGGCCAGGTCCCACATCTACACAGTAAAATAACAACGTACTGGAGTGAACGATATGGAAGAAAATGCAAGATTGAACCAGTGAAGAGCAGAGGTGCCATAGGCACAATCAGAAAACACTGTATAATCATCAGAGGTCCACGGTTGTTCAACGTCCTCCCAGCGACTATAAGAAATATTGCCGAAACAATCTTGGACATCTTCAAGAGAAGACTGGACTGATTTCTAAAAGAAGTTCCGGATCGGCCGGGCTGTGGTGGGTATGTGGGCCTGCGGGCTGCTCCAAGCAACAGCCTGGTGGACCAAACTCTCACAAGTCGAGCCTGGCCTCGGGCCGAGCTTGGGGAGTAGAAGAACTCCCAGAACCCCATCAAGCAGGTACATAGATATAATAAAGCACCTAAATTATTGGGATCGTCTCAAAGTTTCCGAAATGTACTCAGTAGAAAGGAGACGAGAGATATATCAAATAATATACACGTGGAAAATACTGGAGGGCCAGGTCCCAAATCTACACAGTAAAATTACAATAGACTGAAGTGAACAATATGGAAGAAAATGCAAAATAGAACCAGTGAAGAGCAGAGGTGCCATAGGCACAATCAGAGAACATTGTATAAACATCAGAGGTCCACGGTTGTTCAACATCCTTCTAGCGAGTATAAGAAATATTGTCGGAACAACCGTGGACATCTTTAAGAAAAAATAGATAGTTTTCTTCAACAAGTGCCGGTGTTCAGTCAACCGGGCTGTGGTGGATATACGGACTTGTGGGCCGCTCCAAGCAACAGCCTGTTGGACTAAGTTCTCACAAGTCAAGCCTGGCCTCGGACCGGGCTTGGGGAGTAGAAGAACTCCCAGAACCCCATCAAGCAGGTACTGTCAATTATTTTAAAATCTTTCAACAATATGTTACCGTATCACATTTAATTTTAAGTATTTCTCCATATCACATGTTCATCTACTCTCTTTTTTAATGTTATGCACTCCTTAAAAGCTGTATATCATTTGTTAAATTTCTTTAACAATGTAAGTATATGTTAGCCTACTTCTTGTTTAATATTAAGTGTCTACCTCATCAGACTTTTAAAAAACCCAACCGAGTTATTTTAAGTTATGCCAGAAACGTTTTGCCTGTTAATGGTCTATTAAATATGCATACTCTGTAACAATTATTAAACTTTTATATGATATTCTTTTGTATATTTAAATAAAAATAGTTAATAGGTTGTGATCTGGGTAGCAGATATATATATATATATATATATATATATATATATATATATATATATATATATATATATATATATATATATATATATATATATATAATAATAATAATAATAATTTAGTTCCTGGTCAATTAAACATTATTTGTGAAAATAAGGATTAGTGCTTTCTTTTCTATATGGTTTTACCATTTAAGGCAAATCTATCACACATCCGTAAGAGGTCATTTGTATGTGAATGTTCATTTAATTAAACTACTTTCTGGGATTCTTTCAGATATAACTGTATTTGTCACACACTTCAGTTTAGGTGCCATTGAAGACCCAAGACAAGATGATGTTTGGAGCTGATAACATTTCTAGAAAAATATTTTAGTATCCTAATTGTCTTATTTCAAACATTTATGCATATAATTTTTTGGCTTTACATTAATACTAATCATGATCCCAGCTCCTTTTCCCAGACTTCATAAAGGGATCCCGGTAGTACAGTCGGGTTCGTTCTCAAGGCACAATCAAGAATTCCGGGTTCGAATCCCGGGCGGGACAGAAATGGTTGGACACATTTCCTTTTACCTAATACATCTGTTCACCTAGCTGTAAGTATGTACTCAAGAGTTAGTCAACTTGTGGGGCTACATCCTGCATGGGCGGGGTCAGTAATTCGGCCTTGAGTGGGGGACCTCGATATAAGACTAACGTGTATGAACACACATCGGCTTCCTGTCCCCCCCCCCCCCACCCGACACAATGGGGGAGGGGGGGTATCTTTTATATCTTTTAACTGATAATGGTATGATAAAGATCATGTTTAATCACAAAAATGTGTATTCAAAGAACATAAGGGTAATGTACAATTTTAGGGACAGGAGTTACACATATTAATGAAGTCAATATTATGCAAAACGTTTCAGGCATTTTTTTTTTTTTTATAAAATAGGAAAAAATTAACTAAAGGTGTAAGGAGGTACAACACTTAATACTAAGGAAGAAGTAAACTAACAAGATGAGAACGTTCATAGTATATAACAAATGAATGCCAAAAAAGGTGACACTTATGGATGACAGGCATTGACTATTACATTGTGGAGTCATATGATGTAGCAATAGTATAGTGGTAAGTAATTATCAAAAGAAAGCACCAAACCGTCAGTACAGTAGTAACTACTCCTCATCTGCTACGTAATATTGCACAGATGCATATAGAAGCAAACTATGGATAAGTAGACCAGCAGGGACAAGAAACCGGGGCTGCAATTAAGGCAGGAAACTCTGTTAATAGTTCGAGACTCTCAAATGGGTGTTCAACTTTACAAACATAGATGCTAGCCATTCAAAAGGCTTTGGAACATGCTCTTACTGAAAACCGACAACATTGTATCATACATACAGATTCGAGAACTGCCAATGAAACCTTGCAACAAGAACACATGCGTGATAACATCCACCTGATCACAAATGTCATATCATTAATGCAAACACTCAAACGTCAAGGCCGTCGAGTACTTATCAACTGGGTGCCAAGTCATGTGGGAATAATAGGAAATGACATTGCAGACGAGGTTCAAAACTTGCAACTAGGAGAAGAAATGTAGACATTTACATACCACCGAGTCTATCACAGATTAAGAAAGTAATTAGACACAGAGCAATGCAAAAGATGTACAGTGACCACAACACAGCAGTTGCAACATCAGGATATGTGGGTTGGTATACGAATTCAGCCAACTACAAACCACTTACTTTAATGAAAGAGAGCAGTAGAACAACAGAAGTACACTTACATCGCATCAGGCTTGGATACTCATGTGCGTGGGAAATAGGCTTACAGATTCCGGAAGATGAGAGGAAATGCCAGCACTGTGGAGAAACGCCCGACAGACCCCCGGAACATTATCTAACACAGTGCAGAGTTACAAACCCATTAAGATTTCAACTTAGATTCAACAGAGCAGAAGTTGTTAAACACATGGGCCAAAATCTTACTGAAGCGACCATACGAGTCATAAATACTCATACTCCGCCCAAGTAAAACAGAAACAAGCAACACTTAGTGGGCCAGCCAGAGGCTTAGGGCCCGCGCAGGAATATCTCTGAAAAAAAAACTGTCACAAGACATACGAACATAAGAATTAAAAGGATAGTGGGCTCCAGTTCCTGATCCTATTACGTGTCTGCAACCTTCCCGCTAATACTCATAGGATACGTATTGAATTCATAATAAACAAATTAAACTAAATAATATTGGCTGCTACTCACCCAGCACGGTGACTGCGCGTGGGTGTACGCGTAGGCAATGATGGGGAAGGGAGGCGGCGGTGGCGTTGATCTCTCGCCCCCAGAGTCCACTTGACTCTCTGCACCAGCCTCCTCCACGGGGCCACTCTCATATGCCTCCCTTCTGGCTCTCCGCCTTCACGCTCCTCTACTCCTGATCTTTCCGGTTCCTTCCTGAACTCTGTTTTCTATATACAGGCATAAGACTTTGCACTTCTGCACAACTGCTGTTATATTTTTTTAACTTGTGGTAGAGGCAAGTGCATTTGTACACAGCGAAGAGCACAACACTTCAATACACTGAAGATATACCAACACACGAGTGCCGCGTTTGTATCAGAAAATCCAAATAACGTGCTACCAAGCACAAACAAAACACCAGTAACAAACCAAGAGATCAGGCACTTTGGTGTCACAAATTCACCAGGATATCACATAATACACTACAAGACACTAAGATATCACAGCGCCCACTTCAAATGGGCAATGGGGGGGTCTGTGAACACTAGAAACGTTGTTTAAACGAATGGACCGCATGCAAGCCTCGCGTTTCACGGTCAAGGCTCGTATTACACTTGCTCAGCTGGCCTAGTCATCATTTGATGCTGCAACTCTTCCAACTTCCTGATTCACGACGATTCTCTACAACGCCTGCGGTCACCACTCTCAGGTAACAGCTACTGCAAAAGAAAAAAACACAATAACAGTAAGGCAATGTTCGACACATTATTTTATTTATAAATCCCAACCATTTCTCACTCATTCACTGTTGGGAAATAAATGTAAAAGTTTGGACACAAGATTTCTATTAAATTTGGGGAACCAAAACCACACATCACATAGCGTAATTACAACCTTATTAAACAGGTATTAACCTCGAATATACTATTATAAACATCAATACATTAACCAGCAGATAATCATGCACAGATTATCTGTCCAGAGTTGAATGGACAGGGTCCAGAGTAGGAGGAGACAATGGAGAGGGGCGGTCAAGAGCAACAGGGGGGAGAGTACCTCAGCAAGGGCAGCAACCGATAGAAAACCGGGGGCTAAAGGAACCTCCATAGCTGGGACTGGGGGCCCGACCACCGAAATGGGAGGGGACGCAGTGACAGAGTCAGAGGTGGGGGCGGGGAAGAAAATGATGCCTTCTTACCTGCCAGGTAGGAGGAAGGAGAGGAGCCGGCTTACGTTTCTGACTCAGAGACAGGTGTGCTCTTTGAGTCAGAGCTTTGGTTTGTGTGCCAGCAACAACGTACTGGGCGACAGACTCAATTGTCTCAACAGGGGAAGAAGAACGGGAGTGAACAACATGAAGATTGCTGGGAGGATGATGGACGAGGGCCAAGAGACATGGGGGAGGGTTGGGAAGAAGGATCGGGGGGAGATGGGAAAGAAGACACAGGAGACATGACAGACTGAGAAGGAAGGGAGGAAACACCAGAAGGAGAAACAGGAGGTGGACCCCACTTGGGTCAGAACGTAAAGGAACAGGGAAGGAGGTGGTGGGTGTGTCCAAGTCTAAGGCCTGAAAACGGTGAGACTGAGAAAGGAGGGAAGGGCGAGGAGAGGTGGAACGTAGCACGTGAGCATAAGATGCGTTAGCGAAAAAGGAAAGACGGCAGACTTAGCGTCTCGCCTCAGGAAAAGACAAATGATCGCGGTGCTTCAAACTGAGGATGGCTTCCTCAAATTTGTAGTGTATACACGTGTTGGAGAAGGTAGGGTAGGCGTCACCGCAATTGAGGCAGCGTGCCTGAGGAGAAGAGCACTCTGTCTTAGAGTGACCCAAGGCCCCACACATGGGGCATAGACACTGTACTTGTGCATTTGAGGGCACCATGCCCAAATTTCCAGCACTTATTGCAATGTCTAGGAGAGGAAATGTACTCTTTAACAGAGCATCTGGCACCAGCAAGAATTATTGAAGGTGGAATGCTCCTGCTATCAAGAGTGATTTTCACAACTCGGAGAGGCTGATGACGACGACCACAAGGAGGTCGAATGAACGTATCAACCTGGATAACAGAATGGCCCTGAGCTTCAAGGATATGTTTAATATCCTCGTGGCAGTCTTTCAGGTCCCTAACACCAGTCGTAACATAATGGGGAGGAGAACAGTGTCAATACTGTCATTTAAATGTGCATTTTTGGAATCCTAACAGGGGTAATGCGGCTAAGCAGGTAGGTGCATCCTGAGAAGGCCCAGCAATGATGACACAGGTACCAAAACGGGTAGGGTTAAAAGTAACAGAGGCGTCCACTGAATCAACGAGGTGTTTATGGAGAAAGAAATCGTCTGGAATCGTAGAATCCATATGGGTGAGATCAAAGTGTTTAGTCCATGTACCAGGACCAACAAGGCGTGGTACGTATTGGCACAGGAAGGAATCTTGTAGGAGCATCTGTATATTAATACATCTTCACAAAGATTCCTTCTGAAGATGTATTAATATACGAAAGTACTTAAGGAAATTCCTGTTTCAATTCTTCGTCCGTGGTCTGACACTGTCACATTTTTCATCACGTGTTAATTTTCGTGATTTACACACACACACACATTATATATATATATGTCGTACCTAGTAGCCAGAACGCACTTCTCAGCCTACTATGCAAGGCCCGATTTGCCTAATAAGCCAAGTTTTCATGAATTAATTGTTTTTCGACTACCTAACCTACCTAACCTAACCTATCCTAACTTTTTCGGCTACCTAACCTAACCCAACCGATAAAGATAGGTTAGGTTAGGTTAGGTAGGGTTGGTTAGGTTCAGTCATATATGTACGTTAATTTTAACTCCAATAAAAACAAATTGACCTCATACATAATGAAATGGGTAGCTTTATCATTTCATAAGAAAAAAATTAGAGAAAATATATTAATTCAGGAAAACTTTGCTTATTAGGCAAATCGGGCCTTGCATAGTAGGCTGAGAAATGCGTTCTGGCTACTAGGTACGATATATATATATATATATATATATATATATATATATATATATATATATATATATATATATATATCATTTGTATGCGGAAATCCGGAAATCCACAAAGAAATTGGAAAGGAAGATGAACGTTTCGGCCGCTTTACAGCCTGGGCCTGGTGTTGATAACGACTATAAAGCGGCCGAAACGTTCATCTTCCTTTCCAATTTCTTTGTGGATTTCCACATACAAATGATCAGTGTTTCGTGATCGTCATTGTGTGTGTGTGTGTGTGTGTGTCTTGGAAGTCGTGAGACTTTTCTCACGACTTCCAACATTTTTTTTACAGTTAGTATGTTATGCGCAGTGTATTAAATACGTATCTCCTTGCTTGAATAGATTAATTGCTTAAAAGATGTATACCGATAATTCAGGATATTCATGCTCATAGCCGAAACATGATATCCCAAGTTTTAAATCTGCATCAGTATACTAAGTCTCATTCATGGTTTCCTAACTTTACGGATCTTCTTATACCTTAACCTAGGGATGGACAAGGTATTTGTATTTACCAACATTTATCTCGTTACGAAATATATTAATTTTGTGATTTTGCAGGCCCCATTGTCGTGAATACCAGCTACCCTTACTTTGCAACACGTCTGCTGCAGACAGAGGATTACGTCAGCACAACCCAACCCACAGCCTAGCACTTCCAGGAGTATAACGTCCACACCTTTCAAAACACAGGTTCCAACACTGTGACACTCGTGATGTCACATCCGGCAGATAATGTCATAAGAACCGGATACCGAGTAAAGCCTTATGCTGTCCCGAAAATACATACTCAATCCACTTAAAAAAATAAGAGCAATATTAAATTTAATATCTGAATTTAAAATTCATATTAATAGAATTTTTTAATCTTTAGTGTTTATGTCTAATAGAGATTAATATTTCTGCACTTGCGTTAGTTCATGCTCACAAATTAATTATAATTAAATTCTTTATAATTATCTTAACATGTGACGAATGCGTGTCGTGCTGGACAATAGAACACCAAATATTTAAATTGTTATTTACCAGACATACAAACAGAGAATTATTCGTAGATATTTTAATTTCGGCAAATGTGCGAAAGCCAAGAATTCCCTTGGCTCTTTGGAACCAATATCAGTATCAATAACACAGATTAAGAAAGTAATTATAAACAGAGCAATGCAAAAAATATATAGTGACCACAACACAGTAGTTGCAACATCAGGATCTGAGGGTTGGTACAAGAATTCAGCCAACTACAAACCACTTAGTTTGATGAAAGGGAGCAGTAGAACAACAGAAGTACACTTACATCGCATCTGGCTTGGGTACTCATGTGCGTGGGAAATAGGCTTACAGGTTCCGGAAAATGAAAGGAAATGCCAGCACTGTGGAGAAATGCCCGACAGACCCCCCGGAACATTATCTAACACAGTGCACAGTTACAAACCCATTAAGATTTCAACTTAGATTTAACAGAGCAGAAGAAGTTGTTAAATACATGGGACAAAATCTTACTGAAGCGATTATACGAGTTATAAATACTCATATTCCGCCCAAGTAAAACAGAAACGAGAAACACTTAGTGGGCCAGCCAGAGGCTTAGGGCCCGCGCAGGAATATCCCTGCAAAAAAAAAAAAAAATTATAGTGCAAAAAAAAAATAAATATATATATATATATATATATATATATATATATATATATATATATATATATATATATATATGTGTGTGTGTGTGTGTGTGTGTGTGTGTGTGTGTGTGTGTGTGTGTGTGTGTGTGTGTGTGTGTGTGTGTGCAACCGGGAGTGCAACTGCCCTCACACGGATCCTGTAGTCTCTCTGAGACACAAACCGGGGTTTTACACATTTCCCCCATGCACCCAGGCTCTGTCAATAAGCTGTTCTACTTCTTCGCCCTTACTTCATTACACACATAAATCAGAATAGCGTGATGCATCAAATAAACATCACATGTGAGGGGCAGTTGCAATTCTTTTGCCCATGTTGTGGCACAGTCGATTAAGGCGCGTCTGGGATCCTCTCGGACATAGGTTCGAACCCTCATCACGGCCCTTGTGGATGTGTTCCTTATCACAGTTCCCCGAAGTTGGTAGTCTTGTCGAGTTTCCTTCTTCAAGGTGTCGAAGTCGCAGAGGTGGTCGAGCCGTTCTTGAGGGACGACCACGCGAAGGATTATTATTATTAATGAGGAAATCCATAGGAGCCATAGGAGGGTTCGAACCTATGCGGTGCGTGTTCCGTGTCTAACCTACGCCTGAAACAATCAAGGGATCCTATTTCTATTATGTTATGCAGTAATTGGTTCCACAAATCAACAACCCTGTTATCAGACCAATATTTACCCCAGGTCTTTCCTAAATCTAAACTATATATATATATATATATATATATATATATATATATATATATATATATATATATATATATATATATATATATACACAGAGTAATCACACTAACGTGACTTCATCAATGAGAAAATGCATAGGAGCCGTGACGGCAAGACTATGAGGGTTCGAACCTAATCTAGTTTAGTCGCTAGTGTGTGGGAGTGGGAACACCCACCACATAGGTTCGAACCCCCATCGTGACTCCTACGGATTTTCTCATTGATGCAGTCACGTTAGTGTGATTACTCTTTGTGTATTGAGAGAGGAGCGTCAGAGGTAGAACATTCCTAGATG